AAGAAGATGACCAAACAAACAAATAACAAAGTGAAAAATTAAATCTCAATTGTGGAAAAATTTTCTTTGATATTTCATTTAACATTAACGTATACATGTATTTCATGTAAAATGTTCACAAATCGCAACAATCTTACAAAGATTGAAATTATTCGTCTATGGAATAACATACACCAAAGACGGCAAAAAAAGATCAATTCTTAATGCAAAAACACAATTTTTCATATAAATGGGTCTTCGCTCTATTTTTCTGAAAGATTTTATCCAGAGTATGCTTAAAAATATACATTTTTCGGTTAGGAAAAACATGAAGCAAAGACCCACTATACCTTAAAAATACACTTTTATGACACAACATTTGTATCTTTCAGAGAATATTTAAGTTCATTTGTTTAAGGGTCAAATCATAAACTGACTTAAATGTCGATAATTGTTATGAGCGGTATAGCGTAATGATTACCGTGTAAATCTGGAAGGGAAAATTGATTTTCAGGATTTTTATTGCCATATTTTTTTTAAATCACAGAAAGATTTTTTTTGAAAGAAATTTCCGCAGAAATGTTTTATTTATCATAATTCCATACCATTCAATGATAGGAACTATACTCTAAATACTAAATTCACGAATATGACTTTATACATTTGAAGCTATGGGCATGTAGACTTGTTCGCCTAAGTTAGACAGAAATGGACCAGAATGAAAAAAGTTGTAAAATTAAATAATTCTAGCCACAATCCTCATTGATGGAAGCATTTTCCCACAGAAGACGAGGTTTCTTGTTATTTTGGTACCTCCTGACGAAAACAGATGTCCGGTTTTGCTTGTTTAAGAGAACCGGGGGAATACAAAATGTGTCTTGCAGAGAAACTTAAATTTAACAACAGATTAGGATTGTAATTCAGTACTAATCAATATTAATGGTAAGCAGTGCACATTGTTCACACCTTTCGAAAACTCCAATCAGAAAATTAATAAATGTTAAATGACACTCCAGGAAGAAGGGGAAAAGGGAAAACTGTCAAACTATTGGTAGCAATTGGGCCAGCAGTTTTAGCAACTTGTGAAGTATCATTAGAATAAACAATAGTAAACGTTGTGTATCCTATGAAACATCGTAAAAGTAAAATCTAAAAATGAGAAACAAAATATGTTCTGAGCAATACCAGAATATAATGAGGAAAGCGACATGTCCTGGAGGTCCATGACCAATAAGGGACGAGACAGAAAAAGTGAGCTATTCTTTCGTTCGATTACACAGACATTGACAATGTGAGGAAACAGCAAAGATCAAATATACAGACACTGACGATGCGAGGTAGCAGCAAAGATCAAATACTCAGACACTGACGATGTGAGGAAACCGCAAAGATCAAATACACAGACACTGATGATGTGGATAGCAGTGAAGATCAAATACACAGACACTGACGATGTGAGGTAGCAGCAAAGATCAAATACACAAACGCTGACGATGTGAGGTAGTAGCAAAGATCAAATACACAGACACTGACGATGTGAGGTAGCAGCAAAGATCAAATACACAAACGCTGACGATGTGAGGTAGTAGCAAAGATCAAATACACAGACACTGACGATGTGAGGAAACAGCAAAGATCAAATACACAAACACTGACGATGTGAGGAAACAGCAAAGATCAAATACACAGACACTGACGATGTGAGGAAACAGCAAAGATCAAATACACAGACACTGACGATGCGAGGCACCAACAAAGATCAAATACACAGACACTGATGATGTGAGGTACCAACAAAGATCAAATACACAGACACTGACGATGTGAGGTATCAGCAATACAGAAAAAAATAAAATCTATGTACGATTACATTTGACTGCTGACAGAAAAAAATTCAGAAAGAATGGTCCCCATTGATATATATTAGATATATATGATAGAGAACGCTAAATTATACCACATTAACAAAGATCCATTCACTACTCCAAGTATGCACTAAATCTGAAAATACCTTTTAAAAATATCAGGTATATAATATTTAAAAAAAAAAAACAAATAGGAACCAATTTTGCACTTTAGGAAGTAAGGAGAAAATGATATAATGAAGAGCTGCATTTTTAATTGAACCATTTAAAGTTTGTAAATATTTAGATTTGATAAATTTTCATTTTAAATACGTTGTAATGTTCAATGATTTCTGCTTTGATGAATAAACACAATAGTATTTAATTTGGTTTCTAGTTTCCTACCTAACTAATTTTCGTTTTAGCAAACAGTGGCCTTTTCTGGAGATTTATTGCAATAAACACTGTAAATATTATTCAGTGAATACATACTTGCTAAAAACTCTCTTTCAGGTCACTGTCAGCTAATTTTAGCCTGCAGTTGTTATATTGAAAATGTTTAACCCATTGATTGGTGAAATAAAAAATACGTTTAAACTTTACTCTCAAGTGTCAATCATTCTGCCATTGATTGTGAAGAGAAACCTATTTGCTTGTAACCAGGGGTAGTTCAAGTTCATGTAGATAAATATTTTCTAGAAATATCTTGAAAAGTAGACAAACAGTTGTTTTTAGTCCATGAAAGTTGTAAAAGAGAGCTTTCCGTTTCATTTTATAGGGAAGTATTCAGATCTACATTAATAATTGGTTGATTTAGCCAAAACATTGAACGGCTCTGACTTGTAACACCGCTATGTTACTATAGTTTGCCTTATCTGTGAAAGTTCCCTCCTATTAAAGTCTTCTCTATGATATATACTACCACCTCTGAAACCAAACATTCAAATTAACAAGGAATGTTTCTCCAACAGGTTGCCTCCTTTAGCCATCCCTTATGTAAGGATTCAATATCTACTTGTCACCACGGTTATCCGCTTTATGACGTTTGATAATTGTATATCCGTGTACAAAGCAATTGGTTTCCAGTGTAATGATAGAATAATAAATGGAAACCAAGGCCGTAACTAGGCTAAATTTTTAGTGAGGCAAGGGATCTGGGGGCCACCTGAGTCCCAGGCGGATCCAGGGTAGTGTCCTGATCGGGATTCTCGGAGGAGGGGAGAGTTCCCGAAACCTGGGTTTTAACAACTTAAAGATGATGGAAATCTATGAATATAAGCAGGAAAATTAAAGAGATCATATATCTGCTCTTTATTACCAAATTGTGTATAATGTTTGATGACCGCCAAGAAAAGATTCTAAAGATACAGGTCGGAATACATTGTTCTACGGATCGACTGACCAACAGCCCGACTGACGAGTGGACAGTAATATATTTATATCCAATATAAGTTAGAATGAGACACTGATCTATATAAACTTTCGAAACAATGTTGTTTCTATTAGATAGAGTTTATGTTTCGACACGCAATGGCGTGTTCTACATACGAATGGTTTCTAAAACGAGGCAGGCTATTGACAAACAATTTGATGATACAAGGATATCAACAATCTCATTTATAGTCAACATTTCGCAAATTCTAGCTATGGTCGATACAATGACCTTGTTTGCAAATATAATCTGGTTAGGTCGATGACGTCTTTAATTCATTCAAATTGTTAGCCATAATTTCACTCTAAATTGTCTATGGATTTTTCCGTTCACCCGATCATGACAAGGAGCACACGGAGGGTGTGACCGGTCGAAATGGATCCTTACTCCCAAATGGCCTCTGTTTTCGGATATCCGTGTTGGCTCTGCTCAAAATTTGTATTGTTTAAATGGACTTCAGATCACGTTTCGTTATCTTCATATTTCATAAAAATATAAAGTTGTAGTTAGCTCCAAACATTTTCAACAAATGCTTTGTAGAGTTTCCATAACACAATAAAGAGAGTAAAAGAGTCACTCTGGGAGAGTGATGAAACATTTAGCTGTACTAATAGCGAAAATCGACTTTCATCCAATACATATGTATCTCCATTTCTTCTGCTAACAGAGCACTGTAGTTGATATATATTTAATGTCTTGAAGAACTAATTTTTAATCATTTGTTTTTTTAATATCGATACTATCCAGACAGGATGCTTAAAACATGAAGTCGTCATCAGATTTTAAAAAATTTAAATATTCATACAATAGGATTGTGTAGTAACACTGGAAATACAGGTACAAAGGTCTAAATGTGAGGTATATTGCGGGGTGAAATGTAATTACATAAATTGTATAAATTTCTCATAATGTTCCACGTCTCTGAGGAAAGCTTAATAAAGATGCAAATAGAATTTTAACATTCATTATCTGCTTCTAGATATTGATAACAGTTTTCAATATCATGTTAAAAGCTGGAACATTAAGAGTAAATCTGTACACTAATGTTATGTAGGGTTATAAAATTTAATCGGATTCGTGCCAGTTAATAGAGCAATTTAAATGATAAATTATTAAATCAAAATGCTTCCAGATTTATTTACCAATGTCATCAGCCTCTGAGATCCGAGAGTCTATCTAAACCAATACATCTTTGTAAAACAACAACGTACATGACAAAGTATTTTCAATGAAAAGGGATTGACTCCAGACAGTTAAAAAATTGTATATTATATATTGAATGTATACAGTTAAATCTTATTGGTACAAAGACAGCTTGAAAGGAACAAACAGCTAGAAGTGTTGTGGTTTAGTGAACAAGGTAAAATCAATGAAATATCAAAGAATATGCGATCAAATTCACAGGAGATCAAGTTAAATATTGATTTCTACAACACATTCTTATGTTTTCCTCAGAGATTCATTCACTTCAATCGAATAAAAAATTACGTATTGAATTTAAAAAAAGTTATATGCATAAAAGCAGGTCCTGTACATGGAACAACTGATCAGTGTGCTCGATCAAATTTATTTTACGTTAACTATTAAATCTCTAATTACACCAATCTGAACTTGACGGTCTTTGTTCATTTAAAAGTCCTGTAATATTTAAATACATTCAAATGGCCATATAGATTCTACACGGTTAAAAATAAAAATCAAACAGTGGTGGCTTTTAAATATAAATCTAAACCAATCAACTGTACTGTTTCTTGAGTGTTCCGTTCCCGATGTCACCAAGGCGACGTGACGCTACCTGCTCGATCATGGTATTTGTGACACACTAAGAAGTAAAAAAATAAAAGAACTTTGAAGAGGATATAAGAAAAACTGTGAAACTGCCATCATGTCGGACACCGAGGTAAGTGTTTCTAATAAACATAGTACTTACTCAGATAAACAAAGTTCATGCAATAAAACAAGGCAGTTAGACATTTGCTTATCTACGTTTGCTCTTAATTAAACAAAAGGGTAAAACTCAGGAAAGCGACACTGCATTTACTTCAACGACCCAGATTCATTAAAAACTGACCACCTTAGAGATTCTCCTGAACTTGGAGCGTGATAGTGGTTCTTAATGTTGAGATCTTGTTATCTTTAGTAAAGTTACTTTCAAATATCCTGATGATTGATTTATTAAAATCTTCGACAGGTAAGATAGATAATGAAGAAAGGTAAGCTTCAGCATCAATGATTAAAGTACAATATTTTCCTCTTCAGGATTTCTATTTTTGAAAAGTGCAATAAATGTATTTTAACACTTGTATCAATCAAAGTGGGCAATTATATCATGGATTCGTAGTTTTATTGGAACAAGAATAAAGACATTTAAATCGTTTGGTAAGGTTGTTATTAACTCGAATAAGATTTACGAGATATTTAAAAAGAATGTGTTCTCTAGAAAGAATAATTATAAATAACAGTCTTTTGTGAAGTTGTGTTTGGTGGTTAAATTTTGAAATCTTCTCTTTCTAATCTTTTATTTTTTATCTATGCTACGGATCTGTGCCAAAAGTGAAGATAATTTTATTTTTTCTCTATATATTTTATTGAAAACTACATGTAGTTAAATCGCTGGGAAATGATTAATTTTTGTCTAATTTCATTATTTATTTCAGTACTTAAACCAGAAAATGTGTAGTTATCTTTTTCTAAAAGATCATTACCTATTTAGTTTATAGAAAAAGTTCATTTACATCAGTTCTAAAATTCAAGATCAATGTTGACTATATAATTCATTGTACGTATATGACTTTAAATTTTCATGTCGCACTTAAATTATAATATTTTTAAATATCGGTGCTCAGATGCTGATCAGATAAAAACTATTCTTTTTATCAAATATGACAATTTCTTGGATTATCGAGAAATTTGTGGTAAAATCTGTCAAGAAATGTTGTCATTCCAGTTATTTTACAAAATGTTGTTTTCAATGAAATATATAAAGAAAAAATAAAATTATCTTCACTTTTGCACACATCTGTATGTCAATCTTATCTTGTCTCTTTCATTTTCTGTCTGTACTAAAAGGTATCGTTCATATTTATTATCTATGAACCAATTTCCACGCGGTTATATCTGACAAATTCGAGTTACCTGTCATTTTACTTTAAAGATGGATAAGGAGGAGAAAATTCCCCAAGAGGAGACAACTGATTCTAAAAATGAATCAGACATAAAAAATGAAGAGAGTCCTCCTAAAAAAGAGGAGACAACTCCTCGAAAGTCTGTAACGGAAGCACCCGCAGTGAAACCAGAGAAAACGGTATATACATGTAAAAGTTTGAAAGTAATAAACATCTTAATATCACGTGGTGGGGCACTCGGCGTATCATTTGCATCACATTTCAGACAAGGACAGGGAAAATATTTTCCAATAAAATCGCATTCAGCTTGCATTCTAATATTAACATAAGCATTATCGACTAATTAGCACTAATATTTTCAGCAGTTAATGACAAGAAATGACTGTTGTTAAAATATTGTCGGGACTGTATTACCTTTAACCAATCGTACATTGAATTTACCTTGAATAAAGGTGTCAATTATTGGACTGTTAATGTATTTAACCAAAAGTTTCATGCACAGCATGTAACATAATTGATTCTTTGAGTAAATATTTGGTGCATTAAAATTTTTGTTTTGCTACGGAAAAACACCGGGAAGAAATCGAAAAAAAAATCCAAAAAGGTACGTGTCCCTCAATTTCAAACAATTACTCTTTGTGGATAAATTCGTTGAAGCAGCTAGTTTACATAGCACTAAAGGTTCTTTAAACGTAAGTAAACTGTTTTATGTTAATTAGAATATTTTGAGCACAGTCACGTTTGAAATGTTTGACAGAATTACAAAGCAGAAGTGTTTTCTCTGTTTTAACAAGTGATGAAGAATGGTTAGCCGTGTAAATATTTATCTGTCGCACAGGTTTAGTCAATAATTTAAGAGGTTGAAGACTACTAATGATTAAATAATGTGCATCGATCACAGTTAATTTTTGTCACAATTTATTTTCGTTACCAACGGTTTTAGAATCTTTATTGTGATACATGTGTTTTTTTGTAATTCACTATGGCAGTAAATGTATGTCCAAATAATTTTTGTTATATCTACATGTACAGTTGAGTGCATGTAATGATGAACACTACTGAATAATTGATTTCATAAAACTTCGTGTGCGGCACATTTAATCTCTCATTTTTATCATCTCACCTGAGCTGTAAGCTCAAGTCAGCTTTTCTGATTGAATAGTATCCAGCGTCGGGCTGTCCGTCTGTCATGCGTTGTGTGTTGTTTGTAAATTTCTCCAGAACCACTGGACCAATTTCAGCCACTCTCTTGCCACAAAGTATCTTTGGATGTTTGTTTAACTTCAGAGCCATGCTCTCTTTTAAAGGGAGATAATTAAAAATTCGTGAAAATTTGGTGACATCTTTTAAAAATCTCCTTCTCAAGAACCACTTGTCCAAAATAGATGAAACTTAAGTGAAAGCTTTATTAGAAAGTGTAGATTCAAGTTTGCTCAAATCAAAACCCCCATTGGTTAAAAAATAATTGGATGTCGCCACAATATGCGATCAAAGTTTTAATGGGAATAGATAGGGGGAAAACTGCTAATGAAGAAAGCAGGGCTTAGTAATTCAGGTGAGCGTTGTGGCCCATGGGTCTCTTGTTTTCAAATCGATCCGAGTTTCTTTCGATTCTTGAAAAGCTGCAAGTCATTCCTAATCTCAGTACCTCATGCAGACTTACTAATTTGCTTTTAATTATCCAGATGAAATAACTTGTATTCTTTATATTGATCTTTAAAAAGAAAAAGAATGGACGAAAAACGTTTGCCGAGAAGATTACATTCTTACAATTACCAGCTCATTTATACTGGGAACTAGAGAACGAGAAATTAGTTACTAGATCTCTATCAAAATTCTCAACGAGAAATTCTATTTCCAATCACAACAAAAAGCAAATTGCATGAAAATGTCTGCCCCACTCTACAACATCCTAACCTGAAGAGAGACTTTGTTTTTATAGTTTTAGGTAAAATGTGCCCCACTCTACAATATCCTAACCTGAAGAGAGACTCTGTTTTTATAGGTTTCGGTAAAAGCAAAAGAGAAATCATTCTAATTGGTTATACAGTGTATATGATTTTTTGATTGTTGTTGTTATTACTATTTAATTAGCACCGTCCATGGATTTCCAGGCAAATTATAGGACGTTTTTAACTTACGTGTTTAAAAAAAGCATTATGTAAACCTTGTGGCATATTAATTGTCCGAAATAGTTCCAAAAATCTCTTGCTATGCACAACATCTGAAGATGAAATCTTATGTTTATCCCCAAGCAATATGACAAAGAGAAACTATTAACTATAAACGTACATATTTGTAAATGTAACGAAAAATCCTAAAGCTGGTTGCTTCAGTTCACAATGAAAAAAGAATTAATTGTTTTTCAAAGTAAATTGTAAGTTTCAATAAATGAATTTCTTGAAGAATGAATCAAATAAAATCATATTTTTGGAATGTTTGATATTTTTTTTTTCAAATGGGCATTACATTTTTTATTTCTATTTAAAAGAATCGAGAAAAAATAGATACTTTGTCAACAAAAAATTTTAACTTTATTAAAATGTAGAAAAATTTGCTCTCTCTCTCTCTCTCTCTTTAATTATTTATTTCGACGTCAAAGTCATTGAAGTTTTGCAAAATTGGTAATTGATAAAATGGTAGCAGCTGTCAAATCTATGAAAAAAATATTTGATAAAGACTTCAAAACTCTAACGCCTGTTAAATACCCGATATTCAATGCTCGCTTTATTTCCTCGTACATGTACACGTATTTAATTCTCCGTGCTTGTATTCAATCGGCTTAAAGAGTTTATAGAAGCAAAGAAACATGACTGATTTAATTCACAAATAACCTCGAATTTGTTAAGATACATGCATTTTGATGAATTATTTATCACTAATTATTAATTTTGTCCTGTTATTGAAGAAATGCTCAGTACACATATTCACGCCATAACGCCATGCTACCAGGAGAACAAAGAAGACGAACATTCAGATCTTTAAAAAATATTGCACGTAAAAAATTTGGATTTTTTAATAGAAAGAGAAAGACGAGAAGCGGGAGCAACAGAAGTCAAAAGAAGAGCCAGTAGAGGAACAGAAACAAGAGAATGACGACGACAAAAAAGATGACGACACGGGTAAATATGTCACGTGACATCAGTGGACCAAAACTGTCTCTGCATAATTAATTTGTAATTGTGATTCCACGCTTACTATCTCTTTACTAAAAGGGATGTCGTCAATAATCCGTAACATAAGAGTGACTCTAACTTATAACGAAAGTAAAATACAAATCTGTATAGGGACAGCCCGTGTATATAGTCGGCTTCATACTAACAGATCATTGAGAGAAAATTCATATATGTACTTTTAAATCCCGGGACTTTTTTCTTGTATTGAAAAATAGGTGGTAAAGACTGACCTTTATATTGACTTTCAATTAAGTAAGTAATCAGTAATGAATAATGTACGAAAAATACTCATTTCGACACCTAATGAACAACCCTGGTCTGTCCATAATTATTAACACTCCTTTTGTCATTGCAAATACAAATACATGTAGTACAACCATGACTGGTGAAATATAACTGTATTAATTCGGTGAAATTCATGGCCGTCTTTCTTGTGATATGAAAAAAGTATTTGCTATCATGTCTAAGAGAAATGCATCACGCATGCGTACTGGTCACTTGATTTCTAGCAATACTTTCAGATAAATATATGACATGTGGCAAGGTAATTATATATTTTCTTGGCTTTCATTGTATGATACTTAAGCAATTAAGATAAATATCACAATTTTATAAATATCGCAATTATACATCCTTTCATTTCATATCACAGCTAATAAAGTTTATAGAGAAATATGTATACTGACTCATTTAAAATACTAGTACATGGTTAAGATGTTCATGAATTTGTCGCTAACACTTTCATAGCTTTGTGCACATTCAGTCATTGTTTTTTATTCAAAAAATTTGATTGAAAACAGGTACGCGTAAAGTAACTTTCGATTCTCGTGACATAAACTCTGCCAAAGACACACATATCGGAAGTGACGCAAATGGTGCAGAAAATGGTGCTAGGAACGACGACGATACAGAAACAGAAACAAATCGTAAAAATCTTCCAGAACAAACTACACCTGAAAAAAATGACACTATGAACTTGGAGGATGTATACAGTGATTCAGATTCAGAAAAGCAGACGACTGACAAAGATAAGTTAGACTCGAATACAAATCCTGAGGTCGCACAAAAATCAAGTACAAATGGTTTAGAACCCGATCAAAATAAGGGGAAGCTAGAATCCGGTACTCCTGAGGATAACGCACTAGACTCAAATGTTAGTGTAGAACAAGAAAAGAAAACTAGGAACGATTCAGAACCAAGTCAAAAAGATGAAAAGTTAGAACCTACATCTGGAGATAAAGTCACAAGTGAAAAGTCGGAGGAAGCTGAGAAGTCAGAAACGAGGGACAGTGGTTATGTCCCCTTAGACAAATTATGGTCAAGTCCAAAAAGAGAATTTAAAGGTGTACAGCGTGAATATAGTTTTGAATACAGAAGATCAACATCAACTTCCTCTTACACTGCACAGAAACAAGAAGAAGAAGACCAATCAGAAAAAAAGAGTGAATCCGACAAACTGAAAACAGATGTAAAAGGAAGTGAATCCGACAAAGCAAAAACAGATGTAGAGGGAGGTCAAACAGAAAATAAGGTTGATTCAATACAGATTAGTAACAATAAGGATTCCCCAACTGATTCTAGTGATAAGTACATTAGTGACAAAGATAAAAGTGATTCTACAACGGAATCGCTCAACGCAAGTGATAAAAATGAAATTAAAGAAGAAATTGTGAAAAGTGATAATGAAAGTCCAAAGAAGACATCTGATGAATCTAGGAAGCCTGTGCACGGTGAGTATCAAACAGAACCATCTCCAAAACAAGAGATTCAATCAGAGTCAACAAAATCATCGCAAAAAGAAGAAGACTTAGAACGTAAAGATGAACCGAAATTTGAAAAGGAGGAAGATGATCAAGACGACTGGCGATTCGATGACAGAAAATCTTCAGATGGGGGATCAGAGGAAGCACGATCTGACGACGAACATATAAAACATGATGATAACAGAAATGAAGAAGAAATAACAATACCAAAAGCTGACAAAGAGGACGATTATGAAGAAGAAAAGTTTGAATCTGAATCCGATGATAATATATCAGTGGAAGACACAACACCCTACAAGGAAGAACCCAAAGAAGAACCAAAGAGTGAATCAAAGAAAGAACCAGCAAAGCAGTCCAAAGGAGGACCAGCAAAGAAAACAAAAGAGCAACCAAAGAAAAGACCCCAACCGTCTCCCTCGCCCAGACCTTCTTCGCAACCAAACAGGAATCTACAGAGACCGGTCGCTAAAAGTGCTCAAGTAACAAGTCGACCTTCCGATGGTCGACGAGCTTTGTCTCCCGCTCAGATGAGGACTCCGAGATCGCAGACAAATACTCCAAGGTCAAAACAAAGGCCTCAGACAACACCAGGAGCACCTCGGCGGCAATCCAGAATAGGTGACAAAGCAAACCATAACCATTCATGCATGCAATTTAGACAGCCAGACTTTACTCGCTCTCAGATCTTACATGTAGCGTATAGCTAGCTCAATGTTCTTGCTAAATTAGCTAGCAATTCAAGGGTAAAAGTACCATCTAGAGGCATAGAAAGCAACAGTGACGTATCTGAATTCAGTACAACAGGTGTGTGATGCATTTCTGGTAGACCAAAAATACCCACTCGAACACCTTCCGACTAACTGTGCTCACATTTCAAACATATTTTAATACTTAATTTTTTGGCGTTTACTCACCATTGTCGATATACAATTCTTTCTACGCGTTGTCAGTGACGTCACGATTGATGGTTATGTAAGTAAAACAATAGAAACAGCTAATTTGCTTCTGTTGCCTTGTAGCCTTAGGTGTCTCATTTGTTCGTATTCACTTTTTTTCACATAATTTTAACTGTCTTAAAACAGCTTCCTTCCTTTTCTTAATTATCGTTATTTACTTTTGTCGGACTAGTCCCTTTTGCATGTCTAAACTCATCTTCTGTTCTTAAGTTATGAGTTGTTTATTTTTCAGGTTGCATGGCGAATTTTTCATTAATATTATAAGTTAAAACTAATACGTTGTCCCTTCCCCCAAATTTAGGAATCAATTTTACAAAAAAGAAAGTAAAATTTAAGACGGGAAAGAAAACAGGTAGGTTCATTATATTGTGTGAAAAGCTACGCATGCGTCATGCTCGCTCGTTATTGAAAGGTCGTATTATGCAAAGCTGAATGTATTCATGTACTGTTTTATGTTTTTATGTACTTTGCTTCTTGTATAAACAGGCTATTCAGTTTAACGTATATAGTAACACAGTCTATCACTATTTTCACAATACTAGTAAATTTCTATAGTATAATTATATTGTGAAACTAATTGGAATTAGTTTTAATGCTGTATGTGTGACCTAATTATACTAATAAATTGTCCGTTAAGAACACTCAGAGGAAAGCAGAAATGTTCACACATCTGGAAAATCTCGAGTTACATGTATCCACCCTTCCTTTACGTAATCCTCTATCAAAGCATGACCCTAGCTAGTCGGAGTTGTCTAACTTGCATGTGGAATGCACACCATTAAAAGGCACATTTTCAAATTGTCCATCATGTCAATTGAGATTTGATTTCTTTTTCTCGAGTTCACATTAATGGAACCTGAAATGAGTTTTCTTCACTTTTATATTGACCATAATAACAGTCATTTTAATAATAACACCATTTCTTGTCCTTTTACAATAGGCAGAGACTGCACCTATGCAGTTAATATATCACAATATTTTCCTATTAATAGCGTCAGAAGACGGTCAAAAAAGACAGAAGGAATTCTTCCGCGCAGAGTTGTCTAGGCTACAGAAGAGTCTAAAAGACGAATCGTCCAAAATCCACAAACCCAAACAGTGAGTTCTTAATTAACAATAGTTCTAATTTGGATGTCGAATAGAAGTACATTGTAATTATTTCAGTAAAAATCTGTAAAAGTCTGGTCAAATTCTTTGAAAATGACGTCACTTACACTATACAAACTGATTTGTTCAATCCAAAAAAAAACTTAGTGGTGAGCTTTGCATGTTATTGGTGCTTTGTAAGAGTACCCTGTGAGGATTTTTTCGTTGATCTTATAAGTTAATATGCCGTTTACATTTTGCAGAAGAGAACACTACCCATTTGTATGGACTAGTCTGGAACCTTACTATAATACATACGTGGCACGATTCCTCATTGACGCCGTAAGTATACATATCTCGGTCACGTAGCTTACATACAGTAACATATCATTCGGTCGCATCAAGGAAAACACAACTACATCCGGATCTACAATCTCTCTAGCTTAACAATCGGTTCATCTACATTTGGCATTCTTTGTATTAAAAGCAAAAATCATCTTTCCGTATCTTGTTTTCATTTTATTTTTTTAGAATAGCAATAAACTTTGAATTAGTTTAGTTTCTATAGAATCTATAGATTTTTATTTCTAATGTAAACTTTATAGCTTTTCAGAGTTTGCACTTATTCCAGTTTGTAGCATACTTGAACTTGTACATTTTAGCAAGAAGAAGCCATTTTCCATCCCAAAGCAAGGAGGAGCTTTGTAAGCAAATATATAGAGGCTTGATTTTATTTCATGTACCTGCGTCCCACGGGACGATGCTGTAGGGCGCTTCTTCTCATATACCCATTCTTCTGTCCCTTGACTCTTTGTTGACAATAATGTTATATCCTATAGGAGTGTGAACTAGCTCAACACTGTACATAGAAAACATGGCGTGAAATGGTATGATCAGCAGTCGGTGTGGGGCACCTTAGATTGATTTTCTGGTTATATTTACTGTCTTGATTTGGTCTTTGATGACCATTCCTTTTTTCTAGCAGGGTATAGATCTCATAGAGAATTGAAAAAAACTATTTTCGTTTTAGTACTTAGTGTGACGTTTTCTTTGCTTTTACAGCCTGAGACAGAGCGACCACAAACACGTGGTCGTCCGGTCAGTCGCGGGAAACTCTATGTAAGATTTCTTACCCACAAATCAAAGCACCTGCCATATTTAGTTTTTTTATCCTTAACAGTTTTGACACATTGTAGCACGTAATCGTTTAAATAATTGTTGAAGGTGATATCACATAGATGGATATGGTTTATACCATAGTTTGGACGAAGGGACATTTTTAATTCTCTTTACTTAAGCATACAAGTGTATATGGAAGAAATTCATTGCCTACTGAATTAAACAAGAATTTTATAGTAATATATTGCTAAAAGTTAATATATATGTATCTGTAACCAAAAAATTACACAACTGAATTAACATATATACTCATATACAATATATTCCTTTTATTAATTAATCAGAAATTTATAATTAGGTCATTGGTGCAGCATCAAGATAAGATTTTGCAATTATCAAGATGTCACACCATGAACTATAATACTGGGAAAAACCCATGGGGATCTTTTTGGGGTCTTCTTCGTCTTTATTTGTTATAATATGTTCTTTAAATTTCAAAGGATATAAAAATAAAGATTTTGGCACTTTTGTTTTAATTTACTAAGCTTTTTTTTTTAATCTGGATACATTTTCTTTGTTTTGTACATTTAGTCACATGTCATTAAATACTCACTTTTAAAGCACGCCTTTCCATTAAAAGTCAGTATTACCATAATGTAACTGTCTTTCCAAGAACCATTCAAAGGAATAACATATCCTTTACCTTGTTTTGTTGTGTGTTAGGAGTAACTGGGCTATAGATATAGTTTTTATCAAATAGTTAGTTTCTCTGCATAATTTGATTATTTTAAAAACCTTGTTCTTGTAATAAATATTACCTGTCATATAAGTATAATTAATTTTATAAGATAAATGAAAGAGATATCTTAAGTTAATGTCCCGTGTTCTGGAATACCTTGTAAATTTACAGGTTTTCTACAGTGTAACCAGAATACTTGAATCGACAGATATGTGAGACGTCAAACATATCGGTTAATACGGTATTATAATACAGAGTAATATTAATTGATACAATTCCAGGCTGAGGATCCTACGCCCGGGTACGTCAGTAGAAACACAGCCATTGGACTGTGTGACCCATGGACCGACCTCAGAATGGACCGTGAACTCTTACCCAGGCTAGAGACCCCCACCAAAAAGTCCAGGACAAGAGCAATGCAGAAAGAGTCAGTATAAAAAAGAAGTTCATTTTAACATTATTTCAAGTATTATAGAGCGTCGAAATTATAAAAAGTTTTATAAAATGGATCTTAAAAATGTTTCTAAATATTGGATTAGAAAAATGTTTAATATATAAGCAGACTGATTGATTGATTGATTTTATTTATAAAGTTACTTTTTGTCACTTGTTCAAATATTAAATTTAAACGACTTCTTTGTTAGACAAAAACCGAAAAAGAAAGAAAAACCCCCCAAACAAGGTAGTACCAGACTGCCAAAATTTCCGGTGGTGGATTTCTCTTCCAGCAAAGAGAATGCGACCAAACGCTTCCCATACAGTGAAGTGCCAAAGTTCAGGTAAGCAAAGCAAAGGTAATCTAATTTCAAATAAATCAGAGTTAACTCTGATTTAAGCTTGAAATATGGAGATAACGAAAAGTATTCATTCTCGAAAGTCCAATGAAACGATACAAATTTGGAGCAAAGCAAACACAGACCTCAAAATTTAGAGGTGGGATCAGGTGCCATGGAGGAGTAAGCATCCCCTGCCGACCGGTCACATCCGCCATGTGCTCCTTGTCATGAGCGGGAAAAAAGCTTCTTGTGCGTAACTGTTACTCTCACTATCAAAATGTATTAGTTCATGCATTTCATGGAAATTAAATCACTAAAATAAAAGGCAGGAAATTAATCAAAATAGTTTTGATCGTTTTTTTTCTGTTTCTATTTCAGACAAGAGGTAATGGGGCGCTACAAACATGATGCACCCAAAAAGTTGAATTCAGATTACAGCCGAACAAGGGACGATTTTTATCGAATGGATCTGGATCGACTTGATGAAGTCCATCCCATCAACCGGCCGCACATGCGCAAAGCCTATTTTGCATACCTTCAAAATACACCTGGTTCTAAGAAAGCAATCAATGAATGTGTCAAGGGACTGAATAATGACCAGGCTCAGAAGGCTAACTGAGAGATCGGCGTGTTCATATTAAAACAGTGCTTATGTTAAATAACTTACATGAGAAAAATATTGATATTTCTGTCACATTTTTAAGTCGTGTGTTGAGTAAAAGTTATTTCATTTCCCCCGAAACGTTTAGAAGATAAATCTCAATATTTGCATCAACTGAAGACATATTTATTATATAGTGTGTTCAACATCAGAATTTAGAAGATTGACATCCTGAAAATTGAAGAGAACTTATTATGAACAGATTATCTGTGATATAATTAACAATTTTGTGCCTGGCATTCACGTGTCTACTATGAGATGATTGGCTTCGTCGTTATTTTTTCCCTTGCTTTTCGCCGTTGTCATTTTTCAAATATTTTTCATGAAAAGTGGTCCAACATATGTTTTGATTTTTTTTATAAGTTAGATCAAGTTATCCAAGATACATACAGAACTTTTTTTCGTTTTCTGTTTCGCGTTGACGTGCAAGATCGATAACTCAGGGTAGAGATTTTATTAGTTGTTTTTACGAAGCTTATATTAGTATTAAATACTTCAGAAAATCGATCGTCTTGTTAGGTAGAATTTATTTTTTGACATTCTGAAACAACAGATACCAGTATAGTCGCATTTTTTTCTTATGTTTGAAATTCTGTGTCTGAAGCTGGTCTCCTTTTTCATTTCCATTGTCACAGGTACACCTGTGGCGTCATATATTTGTTAACCGTTCACACTCGTAAATAAAGTCAATAACAAATGAAGTTCAAAATGGTGCATTATTTTTACCTTTACACTTTTTAATGTAAAAATGTCAATATATTGATATTTAACTGTGAATAAGACATTTTTGTCGAGTAGAATTCTGTCCCATATGGCTAGTTCTCTAGTCTCAGAGTGCAAATATTTTCGTAAGAAACTCCATTTATAGGAATTCATTTCTTCCAGGCAGTTCTAGCTGCGCTACATTTCATAGAAGTTGCATCACAAACCGGCACTACGTACTTCTGAATTATTTTGATGCTGAAAACATGAGTTGCAGTTCTCCTGACGTTGCTATAGAGACTGATAGAAGTAAACTCACCAAATTGAAACTCTACAATCTTTTTTTCCAACTGACGCCGTCACTTTATTTTAGAAGTTAAGTAAATCCTAGCAGCATTATGTGTTCTTGCACGTTTTAGGTTTTCCTTTCTCCCATTGTTAATTAGTGTTGGATTTCTACCTGCACGTGTTTTACATTGATGTTTTGAGTAAGTCAGCAATCCACTTCCCAAAGCATTTCATTATCCTCTTTTGAAGAAATAACATTTCTTATTCACGTTACAGTAAATCGCAGATAACTCCACCTTATTTAATACTATACTTTAATTAGTCAATTTACACTTGGGTCATCTTGGTATAAAATTCACCTATTCCTTCAGAAGTCGCTGGCACCTGTTTGAATTTGCAAAGCATTTTTGGAAGTCTCGGCGATGAACCGTCCGATATGCAAGACCTTTGTCTTAAGTGCAGCTCTCAAAGGCGGATCCAGCGCCGGGCGTGCACCCCCCCTTTTTTTGATATTTTGTTTGTATTATCCTAAAATCAAGGGGAAAAAACACCTCTTATTTGTTAGAATTCGTCAGTTTCCGGGGGCCCCCCACCAGGGCTTTGCCCTGGAACCGCTAGGGGCTTCGATGCAGCCCCCAGACCCCCTGTCTTCTATTGCGCCCCCCCCCCCGTTATAAAATTCCTGGATCCGCCACTAGCTCTAGTGATCAATCTAATAATGAGATGACACAGTGTTACAATCCTCTACAATCTTCCTCAACTCTATCAGCCGTCACGGTAGCTCAGTCGGTAGAGCGCTCGCTCCGTGATCAGAAGGTCGTGTGTTCGAATAACGGCCGCGACTGACCTAAGTTGATAGAAAATAGGTAGCAACTGTTCCATCGCCAAGCGCTCGGCACTTTGGAGTGAAAGTTGCGGGTCCTTCGAATGAGACCTTAAAAACCGAGGCCCCGTGTCATGGTAGGCGTTGGCACAATAAAAAACCCTCACTGCTCAATGGCCCTGAGTGCCGAATAAAGGTCTAAATTTGAAGCCCTTCACCGGTACATTGTATATGGTGACGTCTCTAAATGAATGAAAAATTCTCTAACGGGACGTAAAACAACATACAATCAATCAATCTATATCATCGCCCGCGCGGATCAGTGGTTAGAACGTGTGGTTTAGAGTTGATCCATACGTCGCGGGTTCGAATTCCACTGCAGACTTGGAGATCGGTCTTTCGGATGAAACCATATAAACCGAGGTCACATTACACAATGGCGAAAACATACATAGGCTGGTTATGACCTTAATGACTCGAAAGAGAGGGGTAGAGGAATTGATAGGAAGGGAAATTTATACCAGAAGCCCAGTGTTGGCTTTATCACATGAAAATTATTGAGATTTGTTGCCAAGGACGACAAGAACTGGAATCATGCAGCCAGCCGAAAATCACGGTTAATGACCCTTTCGGATAAAAAAAAATTGAAGAAAATGGAAGAAAAACACCGAGTTAGAGACGCTCTATTCTTCTATTCTAGATGGGAGAGAGAGAATAAAGAAGAGAACAGGTGCTCGTTTTACAAAAGGACTTACGACTAAGGCCAAAAACAAGTTGATTAACAAGTAATTGATTATAAAATTTTGTAATATTAATTTTTCTTTTTTTAAATTGCTAGCATATAAATATCTTATTCGATTCTTTTTGAAAATATTTTAAAAACCATTTTCAAATCAATATAAAACAAAAAGTAATAAGCAGAATTAAATTTTGGTCTTAGTCGTAAGTTCTTTTTTTGTAAAACGAGCCCAAGTCCTGGTATTTATAAATATCATCCTGTTTAGCTGTCATTTCTTTTTAAAACCTTAGTACACTGCTGTACCCTCATCAGAAAAATTGATAATAAAGAAATAAAAATGAATAGATACATGTAGCTAACATATTGACTTTGTGATAGGATCTAGTATCGTGCTCATAGCCCTGCAAAGAACACGGGCCAAAAATGATGTACGAGTAACATTGAGACACAAACTGTCATTCAAGGCAGAAATTAAATGAAAAAAGGTGAAGATAGCGAACAGGTATTGATTCCAAAAATCCTACCTACAAACAATAAAATTTGTGAACAGGGCATAAAAAACAGCCTACTGGAAATTCCAGAGGTGGGATGAGGTGCCTAGGAGGTGTAGTTAAGTATCCCCTTTCGACAGGTCAAAACCGCCGTGAGCCCTATATATTGATCAGGTAGACGGAATTTTCTGTAGTCAAACTAAGTGTAAAAACATAGGCCTAACAATTGGTATGAAATATGTCAAAATACGACTCAATGATAACTTATATTTGCCGACAAAGTCAATATATAACGATCATAGAATTAATTAAGAAATGCTGTCTGTTAACGAAGTTGTTGTAATCCTTGTAACATCAATTTATCTGTGTTGCCTGCCTTTAAGGACAGATATTACAAACAAAAGTGGATGTCTAGATTGTTTATATATATATTTTGGACCTATTTTAGTTATTAATGATGCAAATACTAGTAATAAATTTCTAAAATATTAAGAAATTGTAAACTTTCTATAATGTTCAATATTCTGCCTTTCTGCAACCATCCTTATTAATCTATGCAATTTTTTGTTACTTTAAATCCCGTTATTGTGAAACTTTGAATGAAAAATTTAAAAAAAACTATACTAAATTCACTCATTTTATAAATATAAACATGAATAAAGTTGTTATTTTTTAAGATTTTTGATAGAGTTTGTTTGTATCATCTGTCCTTAGAAATTTAACTTGTTCAGAGCAAGCTCTTGAGTATCGAAAATCACCATATACAGTTGATAGCGGAATATTACTACAGAAATAAAGTTGAGGATGGAAAAGTTGAAGTCATCTAGTTTGTCATTAAATTCAGTTGCTAGTTGGTCCTTATCATCTATGGTCAGTAAATAATTCAAATATGAAAATGTGGTAGACCCTGAGATGTCTTTAATTTCGAGTTCTTTAGGATATATCGAGTCGACAACTGAATGGAAGTAACTATTATTAATTGATAAAACGTCGATATATCTGAATTTCGAGTTGAAGACCACAGCAAATGTTTTTTTTTTCTTCTCAAGAAGAAGATTTTGAATAAATTCTGCGTCATAAGAAAATATAAAAGCAGGTCAGCTAATAAAGGAGTAAATCCGCAGTGTGCTCCTTGTCATGATCAGACAAACGGAAAAATCCCTAGACAATTCAGTGTGAAAATAATGGCCTACTAGTATATGGTCAGGGTCAGAAAATTTGAAAGATAGTGATAGTAGACTGTCCCGACTCTGAATGGAGGGATGGGATGCAGAAAAGAGCCTTCTATGAATAGTTTTATATAGAATGCAGGACGAAAATATTGCAGACATTGAAAGCCCTTGTTCATATTCATATGTATACGTATAATACATTCCTCATTGACAATACTATGTATTATTTTAAAGACCACGTTTTCCAATGATGAAAAAGATGAAGAAAACGAACAGTGATCTGTTTGAATTTCGATCTGCATTAATTGATTAGCCAACCTCACGGTGTAGTACCTAAACGGTTGCTATCAGAACAAAAAAGCGTTCAATGTTTCTATTCGTAAATTTTACGGCTACTAGCTGAAATAAATATGTCGGAAAAACTTGGAACAAGAGGTAAAATTGTCAGAAAGTGACCCCAAATCGATTTAGTCTCAGAAAAATCCTTGTGCACGGAACAAGTAAGGGATTTCTTTAAATGATGCTAGATGTATTTTGTAGAACAACCTTCTAAAAATTTAAATATAGTAAAATTTCCGAAGCATGTACCCATTCGCAAGTCAATATATTCAAAGTTTCCATGCCTTTTTTCATCATTTATAGGTTAGTTTGAGTTTATTTTGGTATGTAAAGATGTGTCAATCTATAATGATTCGTAGATATCATAATTTTTTATAAAAAAGAGTATTTTGAAAGAGATTTTTTGACAAAACACGATCTTCTTAAGTTACGGTTACTATCAGAAATGTTGGTATGTAGGCACCGTCTATAAACTGAATACAATGCACCGGCTGCTATTTGAAATATAATTTGTTTTTCAATCAAGAAAGAGCAAATTTAAACTCTTATGGCTGCACAGGCATAGTAAATATATTTAAAACATCCAAAGAGCATATGGAACACAATGTCTACATGCACAATTGACATTTATCAACTTAGCTCGAATTTGTTGTGTTCTGCCAAGTAGAGCTGATCTTCGAAAAACATCACTATACAAAATCAAAAAGAAAGCTATACGAAGGAAACGTAAGTTTAAATTAAATGAAAGAACTTTTCCATCAGTACTTCAAAAGCTTTGGAAAGCTTTCGAAAACTATTTCTTTTTAAATTTTTGTAGCCTATATGTATACTTAGACCTAAATAATATCTAGTAAATTTTCAGTATAACCTTTGACGGTAGTGCTTTGGTACGCTGTTGCATCAGAAAATACAATTAACACGCATTATTCAAACCATCGGATCTTGAATGGAGAGGATGTCCGATTCCCCCTTTTGGATGATTTTTCTGGATTATTAAATTTGTGCAGATAGAAGAGACAATCACCCCCCCCCCCCCCCCCGGGGGGCTCGAAAGAAGAAGATCTTTCAGATGGAGAAGACTGAGCTACTTGTTTGCTTTTCAATTTTCTTATATTTACTTCTATTTCTCTCTCTGTCTCTTTTGCGT